TAAGCACTTTTTCTTATCATTTATTAATGTCAATCCAGATTATAATGTTGGCCAACATGGTGGCATAAAGACATGCAGTTCATAAAATTTCCAGTAATTAAAAAAAATTGACGCAATGATCAACTATAATTGAAATCCTTTAAAAAGAAAAACAAAAAATAACTATAATTGAAATCGCAGTAAAAACACTTAAAATCCTGTTTCACAGTTTTTGAGTGAATCATTCAACCACTAAATCATCATGAACTAAATCATCATGATTCATGGGTAAGTTCAAGCATAATGTTAGCTTAATTATTTATTTGTAGTCGCTTAATAATCTCAAGTCTAATGTAGTAGCTGTTTAAAAAAAAAAAGGGTCTAATTAATGTAGTATCCTTTTTAAATGGAAGCCTTCTTGAATGTCTTTCTTTGTGGTGCTTTCTTCTTAAGTTGCGATATATTCAAAATCCAAATTAACTGGTTAGGATATGTAGCATGTGCTCTTACTGTATCACTATATATGTTAAATAAATTTTAAACTACATATATACTTTTTTTTTGGTAAAACTACTATATACTTGCTACAACAAATCTATGTTCTTTAATTCTTGTAATGGTTGAAAAAATAAAATCCAAATCTACTAATTTTGTTGGACACACCATTTTTTATCCTGGAAATTCATTGCGGCTGAAAATATTATAGATTACAATATGGTTTCAGCTTGGAAATTCCAGTAAAAAAAACAACAACGTTTATCTTAAATCAAAAAAGAATAAAAAAATCTCTTGTTGTATTTTGAAGAAGAAGAATCTTCGGTCAGTACTCAACCACGGCACCTACTTGTACCACCGGGAATGTTGGTGCAACCATTTCGACCCGACCCACTGACCGGACCCCTTTGCAGCGACTGGAACACGAGTCGGATCTCATCGGCCGATGTTGGGAACGGCCTCATGGCTTCAACTTGCTTGACGTCCAAAAAAACAACGAAAAAGGCAAGTAACATAACAACGATCATAACTTGTCTTTTCATAATTCGATACTCTTGAAATATTTTCTTCCAAAGGAAAAACGAAACTGACCGACTTTTTTGTTTGATGGGCACGTAAAATTTGTTGTAGGGCAGTGTAGAGCCTTTTTTTTTTGTTTGCATGGGGGTTTCATTATAATTCGATAATGACACACGAGTATATATACATATACTTTTCGGTCAACAGCTCATGGGTTGACTTTGGGTTTTTCCTCACTAACTCGTAGATGTATATTATATATATTATATGTACGATCTTTGACTATGACAATGCTGGCTAGAAAATTAAATGGTATTCAACATTTGAAGATACAAGACGTAGGAATTGATCAAACGAGTCGCTATAACACGGTTTGCATTAGACAACGTCCTCTTTGCTCCCAAACAAATGGCACGTGTCTCGATCTAATACACCCAAAGCAAATACGATTATCAATACCTGGTTTAAGGGTGGTTCGATTTTTTTTTTTTATATTAAATTTGTTCTAATCTGAGGTGACTAGTAAGTGATTTGTAACTTGTAACGGATCATAGTTAGTGATCTACGGCTATATATGAACAAATCTTTAGTTTAGATTAAAAATGATATTACTTAGCTAGTTGAGCCATGTCAATCAATTGTTAACATTCGTAAAAATAAAATAATTGAAATACACTTAAAAAAAAAAAATTCAAATACACATTGATACATATCTTTTTTTAACATTAAAAAAAAAAATTGAGAAAATGTGTTTCGTTAAATGGTTAAAAATCGTGTTTTATGTTTTTTTTTCCCCACTGGAATTCGACTCCTCTGCAAAAATTGAGAAGATGATTTGTGAACCTGTTGACAACAAAAAAAAACAAGAAAACTAAGATCACTCTGCTTTTGGGTAGGATGAGTTGCAGAGCTGGCTTGTAACGGTTATTGTTTAACTTGGAGATGAATTTTGGTTTGGTATCTTAAATTTGATTTGAGACGTAAAAATAAAATTGTTTATCCGAAAAAATTGAAAAGTAAAAGTCATGTTTCTAGTCAAACGCATTTCATGCGTTTAAAAGGTTAGGAAGTATAACCGGTCTAACAAAGCAAGTGCGTACGCGACTGCCTACATATGTACGTGTAAACCTTATGTTTGCTTTGCTCCCAAACGAATGGGAATGTTCAAAGAAAAACTACACAAATTTGTAATAATAAACTATATAATTTCAAAGTCAAATATTTATTTTGTAATATAATTTTTAATTTCTTATAGTATATCGAGTTCAAATATGAGTAATCTATGTTTGGTTAACAAAACAATAATAGCACCAGTATTTTATTTTACTCTTGGGTGCAAATTAGTGGAATTGGTGGAACAAATATGAGTTGAATATTATTAAGTGGAAAAACAAAAAAAAAAATTACTCCAAATCCATTCCTCCAATTCTACTACAAAATAGTAGAGTAACATTTTCTTCCAAAATTTGTTCATTACTTCAAATTTTTGGGTGTAATTAGTTGAATAAGTTTTCATCTTTTTTAACCCAAATGGTGAAATTTTAAGGGTATGTGTAGTTCCACTAATTTTTATTCAATCCAAATGGTAAAAATTTAGAAGAATGTTAAATTATACCAATTTTATTCCTCTAAGTATTCAACCATTTGCATCCTATATATAAATTATAAACTCGTAAACTATTAACCGATTTAAATTATTTTTGGAATATCATACGGTTTACCAAATAAGCATCAGACC